ACCCCTGGCCCCCCATCTAGCTCTGCCCCTGATTCAGTGGTCAATTGCTACATTAGAGGGTGGATGTAAACATCCCATTGCAAGGCAATGTAGGTTAAAGTAGTCCAAACTTCATTCAATAAAGCGTTAAATATCAAATGGTATCAACAGATTCTTTAAAAAAGTTATGAAGATGATTAGTGAATCATTTTACTTTAGTTTGACTATATATGTATCATGATTGGGAGTTCAGCATTGTTAAACTCTAGTTTAAAGATGGAAGACTGAAACTCGAATACCTGGAGGCTTTGAAAGCCACTGACAAGGCTGCTCAAAAGCTCTCTGAGTTTAAGATTTGTCAAGTAGCGCAGCTATCATTTTTTCTAATGCAAGTTGTGCCTTATAAGATGTCACAAACCAAAACCAAGCGGATTTAGGTTGTTTATTTATTTTGTCAGGAGACAAAGAGGCTGTCTGACTACTGTTTGTCACTACGATCCCCTTAAAAACACCCTATGAAGTTTCACCTTAGATACAGGTTTCACATACAGACAAATATATTTGTATGGATGTTTATTGTTTTTCTCACTGTAGAATAATACAATATAGGACAGGGGTAACCAATTAAAAATCAGTGGGGTCCGAATAAAGAAAATCAACAGCCAGTAAAGATCCAGAGACATTTTTAATTATAATCCGTTACTTTAAACAGCATTTAACACTGAAGTCAAATGTAGGCGTCCATGTTATACACTGAATTTTTAAATAAAAAAAATATATATAAAAAAAAATAGGTAATTTTTCCATTTAAAAATCTAAATTTTTTTTTGAAGTAGAGAACAACATTCTTTCAGTTTAGTATATAGACAATTTCCTGACTCACTTTTTTTTTATTTTTATAAAACACCTGAACTGACTGTTTTTTTTTCTTTCTTTCATTTTTCTGGCTTAATGAAAGCAGTGGGCTTTAGGCTGCCCTGCAAGGCTTTAAACCTGAGTTTAATGGAAACAAAGCCATTCTCAAGCACATATCAAGGTGCTCATTTTGAGCCTGGATTGATATTTATTTTCTGAGTATGTTCATGGTGGAGAATCCTGCTTCACAGCAGTAGATTGAGCCTAACATACTAAAAAATGTGCAGGGTCATCTTTGAACATGCTATTTTACCAGTTCATTTCAGTTCTTCTTGCAGTCCGGTTTGCCTTCTGTGTCTAAAATTAAATAGAAGCAGCAACCCAGACTGACAGCTCATTGGCTAATTTGTATCACGTGTAGCCTGGTGCCGGACGCTACGAATGGCTTTACCGTGCAAACAGGAGAAGCGGCGCAAGTGACGTTTATATGCTGTCGTCGGACAACATGGAGTAATTTATAAATGTCTTAAATCAGGTTGGGTCCAGATTAGCCACCAGGTGGGTCTGGATCCGGACCCTGGTCCGCTAATCTGTGACCTCTGGTTTAGGATTAACCAGAAATTCTACCCAATTTAAGTTAGACATCTTAAAATAAAGTTTTGTGTTCTCCCAAATCGACAATTTATTTATTTATTTTTTTTCATGAACCTCCATTCAAAATAGAATAATTCAGGCTGGATTTGATTTATTTCTCAAACAGGACCCATCTCTAAAGCGATGCAGCTCAGGTTTGGTGGCCAGTTCAGTTCAGCTTTATTTTTTTTTTTACTGTACAATTTTTACAATCAGGTAGCCTATTTACAATCCAAATAATTTCATGCCAAATTTGACCTTATTTAGCTCTATGTAAAAGCTAAATATGCTAAAATTCAATGCTATGCTCCAACATAGCATTGAAATGAACCTACCCTGACATTACCTCACACAGTTCCTGTAATAATACCTTCCTCTCCACTCCTCTTTATAGTATGGAAACTACAGTGTTGCTACACCAGTTTGACATCTGTCATTTCACGGAAGGTGTTGTTTATGAGGCAGAAACAGTTTCCCTATTTTTCAGTCAGATAGTTTGTGTAGATTTGGTTTATCGTGCTGTCCAGCAATTAAAGTAAAACATTAAACAAATACTATGATTGAAGTCTTATCGGGTTAACTTTTAACCCATAGAAACCGAAACAAAAACTGTTTAATCATACGGATTATCTTTAAGGATATTGTTGTCAGAAAGCCGTCCTTATTTGGTTAAACTTTTTTACATCACAAGATGGGACTTCAACCTGTAAAAATGAATGTTTACAAAGTAAAAGTTAATAAATAAAATAAAAGGGACAATAGTAAGGAAATAAGGCCTGACCGGCTGTGACACAGTTTAATCATAAATTTATCATATTGTTTTATATTGTGTGTAAGGAAGAACATTTTCTCTAAATATAAATAAAACATAAAGTACCTGTTGCACAAAACTATTTCCACAACGGGAGGGGAAAAAATGCCATTTGCCAAAATTGCCATAATGCCATTTAGAGGTAGATCTGTGAAGCCATATTTAGCATTTTCCAGGTCATTCTAATATCTTCAGTGTTTTGGTTAAATTGAGGAACTGCCAAATAAGATAAAAGCATTGGGCCGGATCTATCAAAGGTTTGCGTGTATAAAAACGTGAGCTATTTCACTGCGCACGCTAAAAAATGTACAAACTGATCTATCAACA